ATGTAGATGTGTTCATCAATATTTTTAGAGATGTTTTTCTACAAATGGGGGTTTATGTAGATGTTTCTATATGTATATGTTTTTTTAGATGTTTCTGAATTTGGGTTTTAGGATATGTTTCTTAATATGGGTTTCTATATGTTTTCTAAATGGGTTTTAGAGATGTTTCTTAATATGGGTTTGCTTCAATAAGTTTTCTTACTATGGGTTTTATAGATGTTTCGATATAGGGGTTTGTCTTAGAACAGGGCACAACCGTTTGGTTGCATCCAGCTCTTTTCAAACGCGCAGTTTGAGGTGATGGATTGCCGAGAGTGCAACTACTACCTCTGCAAGACATGACCTCAGTTGCTCTTTTTTTGGCGAATCCAAAAGTGATCTTGGGTGATCGATTTGGAGATGCATTGAAATATGTTTGGAGGTCAGAGATTTCTTTATGATATCATTTGGATCGTCAAGCTCCTTTAAAAAACATCTATTTGGAGGTTTCCCAAATGGGGGGTATCCCCCGTTCTCATCCAGTCGTCATGGATGACGCCAAGGATTTTTCAACAACCTGCAGGTGACGCCAGGGGATCATCCCCACGAAGTCCCATGATATTCCCACGAAATATTCCATAGTTTTGACATGTTTTGATTAGAAAAAAATCATCCCCTATCACAATGTCATGGATATATCATGATTTATCATATACAATCATGAAAACACATCGAGTCATTCACAATGACCTCCTGTTGAAACCAGTTTCAACGTTAAAAATCGAGGTATTGCTGCCCTCCCCCAGAGGCGAGGTTCGTTGTGCCAATATATTCTTAACTTGGAAAAAACCATGGAAAGCTAATGGGATATGGGATATGAAACCCATGGAAAGTCATGCCATATCCCATATCCCATGAAAAACTATCTCACTATGTGTTACATATGAAGTTTAATGGCATATATAGAAAACCATACACGTGGATATAGATTGTTCTTCCATGAAACTATCTCACTATGGAATCCCGATGAAGCCATGCCTGTGGGTAATTCCCAATGCCATTTTTACCACCCATGACTGGGACCACCAAACAAAATGCTGGTCACTGTTGGTTTATGAAATTCTTTCACCCACAGTCAACCAATACATATATATATAATATCATATATATATACATAATATATATATAATATATATAATATATATAATATATATAATTTATATAATATATAATATATATAATATATAATATATATAATATATAATATATATATAATATATAATATATATTATATATATAATATATAATATATATAATATATCACTGGTGGCAGAAGCATAGTTGATATCTATATTAGAAACCAATATTAGAAGCATAGAAAATAGTTCTTAATCCTATATTTAAACTATGGTTTATAGTAGATGGCTTAAACCTATATGTATGGCTTATGGATTAAACCAATATCATCCAACTAGGATCAAGTTAGTTCATCCGATGGGGAGAATCCAGAAAAATATCAGGGTTTTTTATTGTCCCAGGATGCTTCCAAGTAGCGATGAGATTTGAACAAATGGACCATGGTTAGGAATTGTTATAGAAATTGTTAATCTATGGTTATTAAAATTTGAATTGTTAATTGAAATTTCATAGAAATGACCTATCCAGGTCGAAAATTGACCATCCGAAATATCATCAGCGCAAAAAGAAATATCATCACCGCAACTCAAGGCCACAAATATTAGAAGCCGTCCCTGGTACTTTCTTATCGGTGAATCTCTGAGTTCCATGATCATTCGGATGACCTGCAATGTGAGGCCCCCGTTCGATATCTAAGTTGGTGAACATAACTCCAATGTCACTATGGTTTATGGTACGCAAATAACTATAGTTAATTCGGCTTATAAACCAACTAACATCACTGGGGGGCCTCACATTGTGTGACCTCGCCACGGTGATCACTTTCCGGTGGAACGTCAGGCCACAGAGGACACCCCCTCCTTTTGGGGAGCCATGGCTTCGTTGACCGAGATGGGGAGTCTTGGCGGCATGGCTTGCTGGAACAGCAAGCAGTAGTCCCTCTGGAAAATGGAGGTTTCAATGGGAAAACCATGGGAAAACCATAGGAAAACCATAGGAACACCGCAGTAGCCTCTGGTAAACGTTTACGTAACTATGTAACGAACTGGAAAGATGTGCCATGCTATCAATGGGGAAAAATCCACGAACTTTCGACTGGGCCATGGCTGGGCCATGTCGCAAAGTGTGAATGTCATAACCAGGCCGGGTAATTCTCAGGTCGTCCCAGGAATTCAAGGATTTTCCCAGCATCCATGGTTTGATGACACCGGTGCGTACTGTGGTTGATTGGTTATGATCGGGGGGTCTGATGCCTGGACCCAGTAAACTGCTAGGGATTTTGTTGTCAGCTTCGGAATGATGGACCCTTGATGCTTTTCAAAGCCGGTTGAAACACGATGTTTGAAACACTAAAGCTATTGAACTAACAAAGCAATGATGTTGTGTGAATGTGTGTATGTATAACTATATATATATTAATATGTATATATATACACATAATTGTATATATATACACATAATTATATATATACATAATTATATATATACACAATTATATATATATACATAATTCAGTGGTACGATACGAACTGTTCAGGTAAGTGAAATGATTATGATTTACCCAATGTTTGTTGAGTAGAATCCCTACTATATCCCCACTGCAATCACTGTTTGATCTGATGCTTGGATGTCCATTGATATGGTTGTGTACGCTCAACGCCTGGGTTTTGCTCAGGCGTTTCTTTATGTAGTGGGGTAGTGGGTTCCCATCCCTAACCAAATGTTGATGCAACTTACATTCAATTGGGAAGATCTGTATACTAGTCTCATGGCAAATTAAATGCATTATTATATATCCATTTTCATACCTAGTATACCTAACACGCTTTTGTAGGCTGTATTTAGACATAGCTTGAGGTTAATCTTTGGGGAAAGTATACGCTTCATCTTGGGGAAAGTATATGAAAGTATACTCTAATCAGGAGAAAGCGTGGTAAAGCACTATACTAAATGATGTCCAAACCTACCATTATCACACATCATGGCTTGACTATACGTGGTTCTCATTATATATCATGTTCCATTAGTAAACCTCCATTCAATGCCATTAAATCTATAATTCTACGAATATTCCACTAGTATACCTGGTTGGTGGTTTGGAACATGAATTTTATTTTTCCATATATTGGGAATAATCATCCCAACTGACTAATATTTTTCAGAGGGGTTGAAACCACCAACCAGATACTATACCTATGAAATCCTCTTATTCACTGGAATATATTGTTCCATGATTCCACTCATGTCCAAAAAATTGTTCCACCCATCTTCCAGGAAGATCGGAACCATTAAACGCCTATATTAGATACCCTCTGGTAAACAAACATAGCCATTGAAAATGGCCATTTATAGCTGACTTACCCAGTGAAAATGGTGATTTTCCATAGCTATGTTAGTTTACCAGAGGGTATGTGTGTATATATATATGGTCACCCCCCCCCTACGACCCCCCAATGTGTCATTTGTATTATTATTTACAGCATAAAATGCGTATTTTTAGTATTCCATTTTTGTCTTCTTCGTATATAGTCATAACAATACAATATCTTAAGGCACTTTGGGGAAGGCCCCATAGAAACACAATTGACCGCCGACCCAAAATCAAAAAAACATCGGGGAAACAAAAGAAAAAAACAAAAAAAAACAAAAAAAAACAATATTTTCCGACTCCTCTGGGGTCACTCCATGAAAAAAACAAAAAAACCTTGAGAAAACCAAAAAAAACAAAAAAACAAAAAACAATATTTTCAGACTCTTCTGGGGTCACTCCATGAAAAAACCAAAAAAAACCTTGAGAAAACCAAAAAAAACAAAAAAAACAATATTTTCAGACTCTTCTGGGGTCACTCCATGAAAAAACCAAAAAAACCTTGAGAAAACCAAAAAACAAAAAAAAACAAAAAAAACAATATTTTCCGACTCCTCTGGGGTCACTCCATGAAAAAAACAAAAAAACCTTGAGAAAACCAAAAAAAACAAAAAAACAAAAAACAATATTTAGAAACTATCTCGAGGCCCCCCCCCCCACTCCATGAATCGCTAAATATATTGGTTTTTTTTTTTTTTGGTTTTCTCAAGGTTTTTTTGGTTTTTTCATGGAGTGACCCCAGAAGAGTCTGAAAATATTGTTTTTTTTGGTTTTTTTTGTTTTCTCAAGGTTTTTTTGGTTTTTTCATGGAGTGACCCCAGAAGATTATAAGAATATGAAAACTCATAATTTTTCCAATATTTCTTAAATGCAAACACTGTCTATCACTCATGCATCTGCCAATCCGTAACTGAACTGTTTCAAATCCAAACTACTGCCTTGACCTGTCTGTCATTCATGCATCTGTCCAGCTTCAACTCAGCCATTTCAATTCCAAACTGCTTCCTGGATCATCACATTTGCTTCTTCGTTTTTTTTAAATTGTTTCATGGAGTGACCCCAGAAGATTATAAGAATATGAAAACTCATAATTTCTCCAATATTTCTTAAATGTAAACACTGTCTGTCACTCATGCATCTGCCAATCCGTAACTGAACTGTTTCAAATCCAAACTACTGCCTTGACCTGTCTGTCATTCATGCATCTGTCCAGCTTCAACTCAGCCATTTCAATTCCAAACTGCTTCCTGGATCATCGCATTTGCTTCTTCGTTTTTTTTTAATTTTTTCATGGAGTGACCCCAGAAGATTATAAGAATATGAAAACTCATAATTTCTCCAATATTTCCTAAATGCAAACACTGTCTGTCACTCATGCATCTGCCAATCCGTAACTGAACTGTTTCAAATCCAAACTACTGCCTTGACCTGTCTGTCATTCATGCATCTGTCCAGCTTCAACTCAGCCATTTCAATTCCAAACTGCTTCCTGGATCATCGCATTTGCTTCTTCGACATGGCTAACCTGGACGTCAATTTCGTGGAAAGCTTTAGGCATCAACTTGGTGAAAGAGATGGTATCTTGTCTTATGAGGAGGCAATCGTGCAAGTGTCTGGGCAACGGCTGCTCGGACCTCAACAAAAGCCGCTCAAAAGCAACCGGCCGAAGGGTGATGTGTGCCTGATCGACTTACCCATCAGGGACCTACATTCACATGGTGGCAAACTTGAACAGTTTGTGGACATTATCCAAAATCATCCTGTCGAGGGAGAGATTAGCATCAATGCCGACTTCCTTGACAATCTCTTGTACAAGCATGCTGTCCAAGCCAAATACTCAGCTCTTCCCAAACCATTCTGCTTGAAGGCAGAGCCCAAAGTTCCATATAGCATGCAGTTTGTCATCGTGCCGTCCTATCTTCCTCCTGATGAAGATCATGCCTATGTCGACATCTTCAAGCACGTTTACCTTCACAAGAACAAGATCCTCAGCAGTGAATGCATCCCCTGTTGTCACGGAATTCCTGTTCGCTTTGACTGGGGCTCTCAGGTTCGTCTCGGCCTCACAGGTATGAACTACATGCTGGATCGCGTCGGAGGCATGCAGGTGCGATTGTGGACAATTCAGCCCAAGTTCGAAAAGAAGGTGACTTTAGATCAGACTGCTCGTGAGGCAGGGTATCATTTCATTCGAGACCATGGTCCGCGCTCCAACAACAGGAATCAGTTCATGGAGTGGACCGATGAGCAGGTTCATCTTGCCGGTGGCCCCTTGGAAGGATGGCATGAAGGAAAGGTCAAGGAAGCTCTGCACAATTACTATCGCGGGCGGCAAAATGCCAAAACTTTAGAGTATTGGCCCCTGACCTTGAAGAGTTTCAGTGCATGGTTCCTAGATGATGTGATTGTGCACATGCTACCCTCCATGCGACAGCACTCAATCCCTAGGTTATATGGGGCTGGCGGTGTGTACTGTAGTTTTTTCGCACTAGTCTTCGCGGTCTGGACAAATATCTATAACGCCCGAGCTTTTTGGCTTGTCAGCTGACTTCTCCTGTGCCCTCTTCAATTTCGCCTCGCCTCGACCCAGGATCTGCGCGTTTGATCAAAGACTGGCTATGCAAAAAAGATTCACCGCTTTGCATTCTTCGCTGCAGTTGCTCTTCTCCTGTCGTCAAACATGAGTTCATATATCTTACTTCCTTAACACAATGGCATTTGACATGTGTCCACCTTTCTCTTCTGTTTCAAGAAGAATCTTCAAAGCTACAACTTACACCGCGCAATCTTCACCAAAAAATTGCATGCCTGCTGTTTAACCGTTAGTTTCTGCTTTTTAACGTCATAGTCTTTTGACAAAAAACAAAATGTAGTGTAATATAGTGATACGATGTAATACGTATAATTTGTCTAATGTACAATAGTCCTCTTTGCATGCCCCTAGGTTATATGGGGCTGGCGGTGTGTACTGTAGTTTTTTCGCACTAGTCTTCGCGGTCTGGACAAATATCTATAACGCTCGAGCTTTTTGGCTTGTCAGCTGACTTCTCCTGTGCCCTCTTCAATTTCGCCTCGCCTCGACCATGTCCAACCAGCAAGTGAGCAGTGGCTCTATTTCAGAACAGGCGACGGAATGTGTTCCAAACCCTGCCCGGCCTGATGGGAGGGCCATCCATTACGGAGATTTCACGCGTCAGCGTAGTAGTTCACCTCCATTTGTTGGTGTCCGCAACCCTGCGCGCCCCGGGACGGAATGTATTCCAAACCCTGCCCGGCCTGATGGGAGGGCCATCCATTACGGAGATTTCTCGCGTCAGCGTAGTAGTTCACCTCCATTTGTTGGTGTCCGCAACCCTGCGCGCCCCGGAGGTGGTGCCATAGATTATGGCAGTTTTGGGTGTAAGAGTCGCTCCAGGACTCCTCCACCATCCGATCGCACCAATCGTCTGATTGGAGGATAGAAATTCCCGTAAACAAATGCAATGTAAAATATACTAGTCTTTCAAAATTTAAAAAAAATGTTAGTAGGAAAGTCTCAAGCGCAAAAATTTTCCTATTAGCGATTGGTGCGTAGAGGCAGTTTTCGCAGCAGCATAAGACCTCAGCTTAGCAAAAGTGATGCTGCTGCGGCAGGGTCGACTCGTTGGTGACTTCAACGTGGTTCTGTGCAGACACAAGTCAAGCATAGTGAAGCAGATGGCGGGTTGAGGGGGGTCGTTGGGGGGGGGGGCTGAGCATATATATATATATATATATATATACACACCATAATATCCGCAATGATACCATTACTTACATGACCTACATGCATAATTATTCCACTCATATTCCATCATTATATCTAGTATATTCCGATTAAACTGGATTTCCATTGCTATAATAAGATGGATATCTATATATACATATATATAGATACCATCGATATACATTATATATAGTATTGCTATGTATTGCTTGACCTGAATTTAAATCTAAATCCCATGAGTTTATGTTGCTATATATATACATTTGTATATCGCTATTCCAAAATATGCTCCCATTCTTCCACCAATATTTCACTACACATCAAAAAAACAATTAAACCCATTAAATCACCATTAAAACCCATTCAATCAGCATTTTCCATAGCTATGTTCGTTTACTCCCAGGCTAAACCTCCCATTTTCCACGGGGAAACTGTGGCCCTGCTTCAGGTCCGGCCCTGCCGTGAGTAGCGCCTTAGACAACGTGGCGTTGAGCCTAGGGGATGTCATCGATGCAGCCACCCAGGACACCTGGATTTGCTCGGTGGATTTCTAGGAGAAATCCATGAGATTTAGGGAGCAAAAATGATGATTTAAGTGGTGGTGGATTTACACGGAAAATGTTTTGATGTTTGTTGGTGGAATTCACTAGGGAAATGATGATCTTGTTTGGTGGAGTTTTACTAGGGAAATGAGGAGAGTTACGCGGAAAATTATGAATCTTTGGGTGGTTTTTTACCGAATACAGTCGGAATGCTATCTTTGCCATAGCATAAACCGACTTAGTCATCATGATTCCCTCAACCCCCATAGAAATCTTGGTTAAATCACCATAAAGTCACCTTGGCCATTGTCCATGAATTTTGTCAGATGATGCTAAAATCCACCACATTCCATGCATTTTAAAGAGGCTGAAATCCCTATCGGTTCCTATTCTCTGGGGCCAGCTGCGCTGTCGGAATGGACATTTTCAGGACATTTCCGAAATGGCCTCAGACTTCAAATCCTTCGTCGCTTCAGCTGTGGGCCTCGAGGTTCTTTGTGGCAGCTGATCATAGGAACGATGAGAAAAATGGGGTGATTTTCGAAGTAATGTGGGTAGAACAATGCCAGAAACATATAAAGAATTCCCATCAGCATGTAGGTGCTATAAACATTATAAACCATTCCCAAATGGGTGGCTTATGACATTGTTTTACCCACATTACGTGGTAGTTCATCCCAGGAATCGCACTTGGGTTAGTTCACCCCAGTTGTCATTGAACTAACTTAGCCCATTCAGAATCAAGGCTATTAACCTACATACGCGATCCGTGCGATGATCCTCCAAGTAGTCACCTTAATGAAAAATTGCTGGTAAAATGGAAGAATATGGAAGGAAAAGGGGAAAAACAAGGGAAGATGATGGGAAGAATGGGAAGAATATGGTAATCCCATCCCCCATTTAATTATATTAGTAGTTGCCCCTAGAAACCATGGGTTTCGTAGGAGATTCAATGGTGGGGATCGATTTGTTGCTTTTTGATTGGTTGGTAGAATGGTGGGAATCGCAACAACTGGTTGGTGGTTTCAAACATGTTTTATTTCCACAATATATGGGATAATCCTTCCCATTGACTAATATTTTTCAGAGGGGTTGAAACCACCAACCAGACAAAAAAACTGATATGTGTAAAAAAAATAGATGGTAGATGGTACGAATCGTTCTACCGGGAAATTTTCATGGGATAACAAAGGGATGAATTTCACCGACAACCAAAACAAGTAGGTTTGCCAAAAATCTGAATGGGATTTATTCCATGGATGATTGTTGTGTTGGAACAACTCTGGCTTTCACACCAATTTCAACAAGGGGAAAATTCATGGTTTCCCTTTATTATGGAAAATTATGGAAAAATTATGGATTCACACCCATATCGTCCATATGAGGGGAAAATTAAAATGGTTTCCCGTGGGAAAATTCTCCATGTCTGGATGATCTCCTGCTGGGGGTTCCAAGCAACCCCACGGCCATGATGACACCGGAGGGTCAACCAATATTCCATGATATTCCGTCATTGTTATCCCAGTAGTATCCCATGAGTATCCATATGAAAAACCATATAAAACCATGGTACACCATCATATTAAACCATGTTACACCATATAAAACCAGATTAAACCATATAAAACCATATAAAACCATATAAAAAACCATGTTAAACCATATTAAACCATGTTAAACCATGTTACACCACATTACACCATCATATTTCAACCAATCCATTGACTTCATGCTGCCCCCGCTGGCGAGGACGAGAGCGGGGATGAAGCGGAAGCGGAGCGGCAGAAGGCCTGAGCGAAACGGAATCGTGGTCGACCAAAAACGACAGTGAAACAGATGGCTATGAAAAATTCATTGATATGGATTGATATGATATAATATATATATATATATTAACATATATAACACGCACACATATATATATAATTATATATAATGTGTATATATATAAAATCTATCTATATATATAATATATAATATAATATATATATAATATATAATATATAATATATATAATATATAATATATATAATGCTGTTTTTACCACAGCACTCATAGGCGTTGACATGCCTATTCCGTGAAGTATTGGCTGAAAAGAGCCGCGGAGCGAGATTCATGAGGCGTTGAACACCCCTCCTTGTCCAATCGATTCCAGTGACTCTTCATATCCTACTTGAGCACTTCTACCGCTTGCACGATAGCGGAGCCTGCCTACGGGCGGGCGTGAGACCAGGGACCTACAGCCTCCTATTGCCAGAGCCATAGGAGGAACAACATGGCGGAGAAGCAGAAAAGGATAGAGAAGACGCGAGAAGGAGTTCCCATTTGGGATGGAGATGCCGGAACATATCAGGAGTTTGAAGAGAGCGCTTTGCTGTGGGAGCAATCCATTGCAATGCACAAGCGCTACTTGTGCGGCCCGAGGCTTCTCACAGAGCTGACGGGCACTGCTCGCAGGTTCACTGTGGGCAAGCATCCCGAATGGCTCTCCTTCAATGGAGGCGTGCAGCGGCTTCTGACGTACCTGAGGTCAAACTTGGGCCTTCCACAGATGCCTGAACTGACGGATCATTTGAGCCGTTACTTCCGGCAGTCCAGGCGCAAGAAGGGGGAGACCATGAATGAGTACGTCACTAGAAAGTCAGAACTGTATGCAAGAGCTAGGCAAGGACTTCACAGGGTGATGTCTCACTATGAGAAAAAGAAGCCAGCGTGGGAGAAGAGCTACGGCGGCTATAGCCGTCCAGGGTCCACCGACCCTTGGGCCAACTACAGGAGGACACCCTCCCTGGCTGGCAGTCAGAACCTGAGTGCTGAGGAGATTCAGGATGATCGGGAAGCGCTTGCTCGACCTGATGATCAAGCTGAGGCCACCGAGGATGCAACTGAGGAGCGAAGCTCCACTGGTCCAGGTCCTTCAGGAGACTCCTGGAGTTATCCGGACTGGTGGTCAAATGACTGGTGGAGTACCTCTTGGACACCTTCCGAGAATGCCGACTGGAATGTGGAAGCCCCTGAACTACTACCAGAGTATGTTCAGGGCTGGTACCTCCTGTTTGATTCTGGCCTGGACACCAACGAGCGCAACATGATCGTGGCAGCCCTGAAGGGCGACTTCACTATGACCCGAGTGGCACAGGAGCTACGCAGCCAGTGGACTGATGAGGACCTGCGTCGTCGAGATGCAGCTAATCGTCACTCCAGCTGGTGGGTGGATGAGAATGAAGAGGCCGAGTCTGAGGACTATGACACTGCCTGGGTTGCCCAGGCTCACCGCAACTTCAATGACGAGGGCCTCGCACTCCTGGGTGAAGCTGAAGATGTGGCTCAAGAAGCCCTAGCCATGATGGAGCGCGGGCGTCGCACCTTGAAAGAGGCCAGACAGAAACAACATCAGGTGAGGATGTCCCGGAAGTACTACCGCACCAACTTCAAGCCCTCTGGAAGCACTTCGGCTGTAGCTTCTGGCACAGATCAAAAGTGCTTCCGATGTGGTGGTCCTCACAAGACTTCATCATGTCCAAAGGCAATGGCAACAACGACAGCCTCTTCAGCCGAAGAGCAGGCTGCACCTTTCATCTGTTTTGCACAAGACCAGATCACCAAGGACCATGAGATTGTGGAGCCCTATGTCCCGGACGACCACGAGGTGAACTACCTGGATGCTGGGTTCTCCGATGCTTGCCCAGAGGCCTTCTTTGATGTTGCCGACACCAACAGCATAGGGCCTATCTCCACTCAGATGGCCGTCGAACAAGGCAAGGCTGTCGTTGATGGAGGGGCTACAAAGACCCTTGGCAGCGTGGTGGCCCTCGAGAAGATCATTGCCCTCAACAAGTACAAGCATGGGACTTCTCGTTTGGCCGACCTTGACTTGGAGAACAAGCCTACGTTTGGTTTTGGAAATTCATCAAAGAACCAGTGCGTGTCCACAGCCTCACTCGAGGTTCAAGCTGATGGCAAACCTGGACAAGTACAAGTACATGCGTTGGATGCGGGAGCAGGACCTGTGCTGTTCTCCATTGAGTCCTTACGGGCCTTGGGAGCAATCATCGACTTCTCTGAGGACATGGTCGTCTTCCGCAAGATCAACCCGTCCAAGATCATCAAGATGGAACGTTCGGCCACTGGCCATCAGCTGCTGCCCATGACTCAGGATTGGTACAGTGATGCTCGGAGCACTGCACAGCCAGTGCCGAGCCTGAATGCTTTCCTGTAGGGACAACTCCTTTCTTTCCGTGCGCCTGAGATGGAAAGGAAGGTCAGTAGCGATGTTTCAGGCACTTTTCACAACCCCTTGAAAACATGGTTGGTGATCCTAGCATTCATGATGATGTTGGGTGTGTTGTTCATGACCATGTGGTTGTTGATGATGAAAAACTTTCCCAGGGTTTCCATGGACATGTTGGAAAAATCTCAGACAGCAGTCAGTGTACAGAGCCAGAACAACCTCCTCCTGCAGCTCTCCAGCACAAGCTAGACGAGATCCCCAACGAGTCAGTGAACAAGAGCCATGCCTCGTGCCACCAGAAAGGAATTGGTGGAAGAGCTCCTGATGACCTTTGGCGAAACAGCTCCAAAACAGTGGAGCATCATGGAGATCGAGAGTCGCCTTTTGGAACTCAAGGAAGCCAACGGGATGGTCACTCAGAAAGGGAAGGTACGGCCACCGATGCGCCATGCCATGATCGAACTGAACAAGGCCAGCAAGAAGAAGTCCGACCTTGTGGACTACGTGAACAACAAGCTCATGGTGAAGACCCGCGGCACCGAGACCATTCAGGAGCTGCAGCGCTTGGGCACCAAGAAGATCTACCAGACCACAGCCGCCTCTCCGGAGGACCCTGTGGGGTTCGGGGAACACTGCAGTCTGCAGTACCACGAGCTTCTAGCCCAACACCCACAGTATGCCAGCTGGGTCGTGAAGACCGCCACCGAGGGGGAATGCGACTACCGCCTGGCCCGTCTGGCCAATTGGCTCCAGAGCCCAGAGGCACAGCATCCGATGCCGACCTACAAGCAGACCTCCAGCGGCTACAAGAACACATCGACGCCGGCCAGCGGCTCGAATGGCAAGACCGAGAACATGATGATGCAGATGATGCAGATGATGCACGCCCTCAAGGAGGACGTGGACAATCTGAAAGCCGAGAGGCCTCACAAGAAGGTCGAAGCATCCAGTGTCTCCGAGATGACAGAGTCATCCCCAGGCTCTTTTGTGCCGATCCCACAGTAGCTTCAGCTGGGAGCGTAGAAAACTTTAATTTGTCACAGGCGGGAATGCAGGTCGACAGTGAGCTCTGGAGGGGCTCATGGGAAGCCTTACCTGAGCAAAAAGTAAGACACTTGTCCCATTGCAGTGACAGATTGATTTCGAATGCCTTTGAGGCCCTGCTATCACACCAGCGCATAGAGCTGCTGGAAGTGGCATGTTCGGCCGACAGCGTGCTGTCTCGCACCATGCAACAAAAAAAAGGTGACGAGGGTGCGGCCCGACGCTGCTCACTTTTCAATGAGTATGATTTAGGAACCAACCAGGGGATTCACAAAGTCATTCAAGATATTGACCATTATAAACCAAAACATGTTTGGCTTTCTCCGGTTTGTGGACCTTTTTCAGTGATGCAAAACATCAATCAGAGAAGTGAAGCTCAGAAGGAGGCCCTTTCTGAGAAGCGCAAAGCTGCCATGAAACAGTATGTCGGTTGCAGTGTCATATATACGTACTGTATTCAGCATGGTATACATGTCACTTGGGAATGGTCACAATCATGTCAGGCATGGAGGCTTCCAATGATGCAGGAACTGGTGAAGAAACACAATCCATGGTTTGCTGTGGTACGGGGTTGTCGTGTTGGTCTTGTTGATGATGAGAAAAACCCAATTTCGAAAGGCTGGAAACTCATGACCACTCATGCTTTGTTGGCAAAAAGGATGAACATGCCATGTAGCTGTGGGCCTCACCAGAAACATGTGAAGTGCGAGGGTTCCCTTACCAACAAAACTGCCTATTACACCCCCGAATTTGCCCGAAGGGTCTGTGATGCGTTGATTCATGGAGCGGAAGATGAAGACCTCAAAAGGGAGTTTGTGGGAGACCACCAAATTGGGGAAACTTTTGGTAATGGGATCAGTTGCATTTGTCACCACATTCATGATTCTCAACATGGTTTTGTTTGCGGTTCATGTGTTCATGATGAGCATGAAAGAATCAAGGGAACCAATCATGTGACGTGTGACAGTAAGGGGAACCACGAAGTTCTGGTTGGGGAAGATAACCAACAAAGGGGTCAGGGTCTGACTATTGAAGAAATAAGAAAACGACTGTACCTCTTACATGCTGCCACTGGCCACGGGCCAACCAGACACCTGGTGCAAGCCCTGCGACGCAGGGGAGTGTCAGAGGATGTGCTCAGGGAAGCCGAACGTTTTGAGTGTTCAGTTTGTAAGGAACGGGGTAGACCGAAGCCACGGCCTTTAGCCACCTTGGAGCCTCACCCCCCAAAATGGGCGTCTGTGTCAGGGGATATTGGGCACTGGGAACACCCACAAACTAAGGAGTCCTATCAATTTTTGATGTTCGTTGATGAGGGATGCCGTTTTCGTGTTGGAAAAATTGTTCTTACGGGGAAAAGAAGTCACCTTACTGCCAATCAGTTTGTTGAAACGTTTGGGGAACATTGGGTTCAGTATTTTGGTTTTCCTAATCAACTCAGGGTTGATCCGGATGGTAGCTTCAGGAGTCATGTGGTTCAAGAATACTGTGATAGGCACCAAATAATGTTGGACATTATTCCGGGTGAAGCTCACTGGAAGGTGGGCATTTGTGAACAGGCTATTCAGGGTACCAAGACTCTCATGAACAAAATAGCTGAAGATGACCCAGAAGTCACCGCAGCAGAAGCTTTGGCTGAAGCCACTAGGACCTTTAATAGCCGAGAACTGATCCGAGGCTATTCGCCCATCCAACATGCCCTTGGCCGTGCGCCTGATGCCACCGGGCGACTTTTCCCTTGCGGCCCCAGTGAATGTCCAGAGCTGCTGGTAGAGAACGCCTCTGGCGAGATGGATCGCCAGCTCCAGCGAATGCAAAGTGCGGAAAAGGCCTTCCTTGAATGGACGGCAAGCCAGAGACTCCAAAAAGCCAAGAACTCAAAACCCAGAGATGTCACCAACTATGAGCCAGGAGACCTAGTGTATGTGTGGAGAAAGCAAGTGAGCGGCCAAGCAGCCATTAAAGGTGGCTCGTTTGTGGGGCCAGCCCGCATCCTGGCGGTGGAGCAACATCGCTCTCCCGACGGGACCCACAAGCAGGGCAGCTCAATTTGGTGCGTCAGAGGGAGAAGACTTCTCAAGTGCTCCCCAGAGCAACTACGTCGAGCCTCCGAGCGGGAGGTCCTCTTAGAAGAACTACATGCCAAACAATACGATGACTGGGACTTTGATAGAGTAGCTCAACAACTTGGAGGGAACGAGTTTCTGGATGTGTCCACCGAAGTACCCTCTTATGCAGAATGGCTACGAGCTCAAGATCCAGTCCAAGAATGGCAACCAATGAGAAGATGTGCAAGAAAACGAGGCCCCATGGTAGATGAGATGAGTGGCATGGGACCGGCTCCTCCAACATCCAGGCCAACAGGGCGATCCAGGAGTCCAACTTCCAGGCCTACGCCTTCTACATCTTCAGGAGCACCCGTGTCACAGAGGCCTCGAATGAGTGCCCAACAAGGCATGGCTGCTGCCCCACCATGGTGGAACCAGTCAAGTATCCAGGAAGTGTTTGCAGTCACCGAGTGCACCTTCTGGATGGATGAGACCGCGGCCGTGGCCGTGGAGGTTCCCATGCCAGACACACGTGCTGGATCTGAACGAGCTCTTCGAGATCTCCCTTCTTACTTTGCCAGTAGCTTGAAGAAACGGTCAGCAGTTGAAGTCTGTGAGCGTCACCTATCTGAGGAAGAGCGACAACAGTTCCGATCTGCAAAGGCCGTGGAAGTGAGTAACTTCATAGCTGCCAAGGCTTTTGAAGCCCTTCCAGAGAAACTTCGCCCAGCACGCGAACAAGCAGTGAAGATGCGTTGGATTCTGACATGGAAGCAGAAGGAGGATGGCAGCCGAAAGGCGAAAGCCAGAGCCGTTCTTTTAGGATACCAAGATCCCTGCTATGAACAGAGAGCAACGACTTCTCCAACCACGACTCGCCAGACCAGGCAACTGCAGATGCAATTAGCCGCTTCATATCGCCACAAGATGCGAAAAGGTGATGTGACAGGTGCTTTCCTGCAAAGCAGGCCATACCCTGATGACCTTTTTTGTATACCATGCCCAGAGATCTGTGAAAAGATGGGACTCCCAGCAGAGTCAATCACCAAAGTGAAGAAAGCCTGCTATGGCTTAGTTGATGCGCCACTGGAATGGTATCGTTCCATTTCAGATTTCTTTGCAAAACTCGGATTGCAAAAATGCTGGAGTGACGCATGCTGCTGGGTTTATGTGGTTGATGGGGTTACCAAAGGGATTATTTCTGGTCATGTTGATGATTTCCTTTTTAGTGGGGATGAAACGCATGAGGGTTGGTGTACTGTTCTCAAGAGTATCCAAACGGAATATAAATGGGGAGATTGGGAAGAAAAAAGGTTTACCCAATGCGGAGTTCAAGTGGAACAACATGAAGATTTTTCTTTTTCGTTGTCACAATCGAAGTATGTTGAAGACTTGAAATATATTAACCTGAGAGCCTTTAGAAAGAAAGACCGAAATGCACCCACTGAGGAGTCTGAGAAAACACAGCTTCGGGCCTTGCTGGGAGGGGTCTCATGGCACGCACAACAAGTTGCGCCCCACTTCAGTGCTGAAGTCGGCTTGCTGTTGTCAGAGGTGAACAAGAGTACTATAGAGACCATTTACAAGGCTAACAGGTTACTTGATAAGGTCAAAGATATGAAAGAACACTGCATGAAGGTACATGCCATAGAACCACACATGTTGTCACTGTTTGCATGGGTAGATGCCGCCTCTCAGAACCGCGTAGATGGCTCAAGCACACAAGGCATTATAGTTGGAATTTCATCTCACCGGTTACGTCATGGCAGTTGTGAGCCAGTCACCTTTGTCGCCTGGCATTCGCAGAAGATTGGCAGGATCTGCCGCAGCCCCGGAGCAGCAGAAGCAGCAGCAGCAAACAACGGAGAAGATCTCCTCTTTTTTGCGAGATTCCAACTGGCAGAAATGATGGGAGCTCAAGTCAATGTGAGAGACATCAACAGTGTCGTCAACCAGATCAGTGGATGCCTGGTTACTGACTCCAGGAATGTGTACGACAAGTTAGAGACCGAGGTCTTGTCCGTGAAGGGCGCTGAGAAGAGAACAGACCTGGAGTTACTCTCCTTGAAATCTGCCCAGATTCGCAATGCTGCGGAGATTAGATGGGTTCATAGTGAAGCTCAGCTATCAAACGGGCTGACCAAGAGCAACGAGCACAAGCAACTGCACCTGTTCTACCGCATGGGCCACAAGTGGCGCATAGTCGAAGATGAAGAAAGAGCGTCAGCTCGGAAAAGGAAACTGCTAGGCCTGGAGCCTCTTGAAAACAGAAAGAGTCAAGGGCCAGAAATCGAGCCGGAGACACCATGGAAACCCACGAAATGATTTTCGTCTTGTTTGGTTTTTCTTTGTCTTGGTTTTGGTTTTGGAGAAAATGTTCAAGGGGTAGCATCACCATCTCACAAGGAGAAAGAAGATGCGGGGGGCATGCTGTTTTTACCACAGCACTCATAGGCGTTGACATGCCTATTCCGTGAAGTATTGGCTGAAAAGAGCCGCGGAGCGAGATTCATGAGGCGTTGAACACCCCTCCTTGTCCAATCGATTCCAGTGACTCTTCATATCCTACTTGAGCACTTCTACCGCTTGCATATAATATATAATATAATATATATATATGTGGGTATAACGTGTTTCACCGCCCCCACCCAGTGTTTTCAAGTCTTCTATATGTGCACGTTTCAGAGATGTTGTGCACGTTTCACAGAAGTTGTGCACGTGTCACACAAGTTGTGCACGTTTCACAAGCCCCCCTAATAACGTTCGTGTTCAACTGTATACACACTGAGCGCATTCTAATCAGCAAAAGCATTGGGGCGACCAAACACGTTCTCCCGATATATATATATATGATCATTGATATGGAATAGATATAACATAATATATATATACACATACATGGAAGATTCATTCATTTACCATGATCATTGATAATGGCATATATATATATACAGTATATACAGAGATATGATGGATAGATGGAATTTACCCATATCAATCTATGGATAAACCTCACCTCACCAGTGGAATTCATGGATCGATTGATTCATAGATAGATGGATTGATACATTGATACATTGATGGATAGATTGGACAGATTGATCTATCTATCTTATATAAGTATATATATGTACATATAAGTATCAAATCTAAATCTCACATAAGTATTGTATCTTGACGAATTTCTTGGACTTCAAGTCTATTTTATGTATCAAATCTTATCTTTTGAGATGATGTATTCAAAACATTATATTTTTTCACATCCACCTTTAAACGTTGGTCTTATCTTTTGAGATTATGTATTCAAAACATTATATTTTTTTACACATCCACCTTTAAACATTGGTCTTATCTTTTGAGATTATGTATTCAAAACATTATGAATTTACACATCCACCTTTAAACATTGGTCTTATCTTTTGAGATTATGTATTCAAAACATTATATGTTTTTACACATCCACCTTTAAACGTTGGTCTTATCTTTTGAGATTATGTATTCAAAACATTATGAATTTACACATCCACCTTTAAACATTGGTCTTATCTTTTGAGATTATGTATTCAAAACATTATATATTTTACACATCCACCTTTAAACATTGGTCTTATCTTTTGAGATTATGTATTCAAAACATTATATATTTTTACACATCCACCTTTAAACGTTGGTCTTATCTTTTGAGATTATGTATTCAAAACATTATATATTTTTACACATCCACCTTTAAACGTTGGTCTTATCTTTTGAGATTATGTATTCAAAACATTTTATATTTTTACACATCCACCTTTAAACATTGGTCTTATCTTTTGAGATTATGTATTCAAAACATTTTATATTTTTACACATCCACCTTGATGCCTGGTAGCATTTTTTTAGTCAAGAAATTTTGACCATCAAATCGACCAGGCAGCTGCAATGAAGAAGAGCATCGCCAGCGTGTCTCCCCGCTCCAGGTGAAAATCCCGTGTGGAAAATCCTGGTCACCGTTCCGTTCGAAAAAGGGGACAAAAACCCACCCGTTGAATCATGGGATATACCAAAACTGGTGGTTTGGAAGCACCAGTCATTTGGGAAGTAATGGACTGGTGCAATGGGGATCCACCATCAAAAACCCAATTTTACTCTGGAATGGATTATAATTCTGACTTTCCATATATATTGGGAATGGAACATCATCCCAACTGACGAACTCCATCATTTTTCAGAGGAGTAGGTCAACCACCAACCAGATATTCGGATAGGTCCAATTGCTTCCAGCCGTGAAAATACACGGGGAAAATCTTGGGATATACGAGTAGCAAATGGTAATCCATGGTTCGAAAATGGTACTGAACCAACTATCATAGGGGTATTATGGGAGATATAATGGGGATGTTATGGACGACATCACCCGCAAAATAGTTTAGGTGATCCATAAATCCGATCTGAGAGGGTTACCCCCATGGGTTTCCCCGACTTTGAGATGTAAAATTACGACCACCTGGTGATTTGAAATAGCGAAAATGGCCATATGTAAATCATCTACAAATGGATGGCTTTCCATGGCTATGTTTAATGACCAGAGGGTATAGCCCATAGTTTCCGACATCATGTTCTTCATTCAATCTCCCTTTGCGATATACGAGGTCACTAGTGACATTGAAAGGGGATGGGCATTTAGAATCTAAGGAGCTGAAGCATCAGAGCCTTGCGGAAACCTCCAAATTTTTGGACCTGGAAACCCGCTTTGGACCGGAAAGTCGGAGAGGGATTTTGTCCACTGAGATCATTCCGAATGGTTTCTACCTTTAAATCGCCATTCAGGCGGCTAAATCCCTCCCGTTTTTCAGATAAACCCGTTTGAATCATATGGGTATGGGTCAAAATTGAAGACCTGGGGGACCACAGATGGCTTAATTCGTTGATTTTTAGTATTCACCAATATTAACCATCTAATCATTGGGCTACTCAATTTTGACCAAATGGGGGTGGGTCAAAACCTATTACTATCAATTTTAGTGGGATGAACATCTCTTTACCAGCCACTTTTAGCTTCACTAGGTACCAGGGTTTTGACCCATAGGTGTATATATATATATGGGTTAATGATAACGACCTCACTGCGACCTCACTGGAATCATGGTTAGTAAGGGAAATCATCCCCAAATGGCCTTATTTCAGGAGCACTCAGGCTCAATCACCTTCACGAGGTAGTGCTGTCAACCACTGCTTGGTTGCTGAAACGAGCCGTGTCACAGATGCTGAGGGACATTTTGTTGGAATTTGACATCATGGGGAGCCCGGGGTGTCACTGTAAACCCAGAAGCATTATTTTGGTTGACAATTTGGTGCATCAACATGATGATCTCTATGCTGGAAATCAACTCTCTCCAGAGGGAATCAGCTCAGACATGTCATTGCGTGATTTCATGATGCCAAAGGAAGATTCTGTACTGAACGAGATTTCACTCCTATGAGATGCACGTTGGGAATCACCTAAGCCTTTTGAGAAGTTCTTCATCATCCATGCCTTTGACCCGGTGGTACACCCCATGGGGATTGACTTCATTGTAGATGAACATTCTATCCCTATCCCACTCAGGGAGTGTCAGACAGGTGCAGTTAGGATCCTGGAGATGTTTGCTGGGGGTTTCGGAGGGTGGGCCAGTGCTGCCACCTACATTGCCTCACACACAGCCAATGTTTTTGAAACTGTAGCCATCGAGTTTGACATCCATGCTGTAATGAATTATGCAATCACCCATGATGCCACGGTTATTGACGGATATGTGCCAATTGACCGTTTCACTGTTCAGAATGCATCCAAGCCCGCCATCATTCATGGAGATGTTGCATCACATAACTGGTTGCAGGCAGTCTGTCAGTGGTCGCCGGAAGTCATGTGTCTGTCCCCACCATGTCCTCCATGGTCATTTGCAGCCAATGAAAAAGGGATCAACAGCCCTGAAGGACAGACATTCCTGGAGAGTCTCACAGCCGTGAAACTCATCCGCCCGAGAATTGTCATTATTGAGCAAGTCAGTGGCTTCTACCGACACCAACACAAGCCTTTGATCATGCAGCAGATGAGATGGGCTGGGTACAGTTTTACATGGGGTAAACTGGTTGACATGGAACAAATTTGCCCAACACACAGAGTGCGCTGGTTAGGCATGTTCACACGTATCACTGATGTTTGCATCATCAAATCACCTTTCCAAATGTGGTTGCCAATTGGAACACAAACGCCGGTATCTTTTGATGCAGTTCTCTCCCCAGATATGTGCAGTGACCCTAGGTTGGATATCCCTATTGAAGTCAAGACCATGAGCTCACGACATGATCTACTGCCACCAAGTAAAAGAATCAAGACCAATCCCAAAGATGTTTTTGACAGCAGATGCAACAATGGCCACCAAATTGTTCCCACGTTCATGGCATCATACTCCAACCAACATGCCATCGATGCCACTTTACTGGGGCAAAAAGGGCTGTTCACCCATTTTGTCAAGATCCGAGATGAACCAGCAAGGTTCTGGCACCCGGCTGAGATTTGGATGTTACATGCTGCACAGGGTAATCTATCCATTCCGATGTGTTGGACGCAAGCCTACAGGTATCTAGGCAACCAAATCACCACAGGCCATGCCCTATTAATGCTGTGTAATGCCGTGAACCAGATGCCATCAAGAGCACACTCCATTGATGTAGGCCAGTTTCTACTGCAGTTTGTACAGACCCGTGTGACCAGCCAATCCATCCGCCTGATTGAACATGCACATGGCCTGTTTGCCACATCAAATCCTGATTTTGACATGGACTGCAGAACGCCACACATTCAAGGGTTTCTTGATCAGCTGGAACATGAAAGGATGCCTCCAGGATCAGTTTGGCATCCGAAGCAAGGTTTCCTTTTGGAGAACCGAGATGAAAGATCAGAGATCAGGGACAGCACCCACCAAGACATGAGACCCATGATTGACCACAGTCCCATCACTGTTGTTGATTCAAGTACTGATGAGGAGTGCTCATGTACCATTCCCTTTACGCCTATTCTGAAAGGTTTGTGCACCAATGGGGAATCCTCCTGGGAATTCTGGTTTGGGTCCGATGTCCCCCTTGAACATGTCATGTCAGTTTGGGATGGAACTTTCCGCTTGGAACAAATCCCTGAACCACCTTCCGAGTTTGCATTGGTATTGACAGCCGCATCCGATGTACATAGTCCCATCAGTTGCATCCGTGTACAGGGAACTGCATCCGAGCCAAAAATCATTTGTGCCATCCAGCAGGGTTGCCTTACCATTTTGCAGAACAATGAACACGCTCGCAAGATACTCTGCCAAGAAGAAGCCATGAAACTGTTTGATCAGTTTGCAGCACTGGGAGACAGCCCAAGCATGCAGCCGTTTGCCATCATCCAAGACCAATGCCAAATCCGACCAGGTATCCAGATGGACATGATGCCTTTTTATTTTGCAGCCGCCAGACTTTGCCAAATGCACACATCATGGATTCCAGCCAGCCACACGACACAGATACACATCACAGGGCAGAAAGATCCAAGCAAGTTGCTGACCACCTTTTGGACGACACTGATGATGCCAAATCTCACTGATGATCTAGGACTGGAGTGCATTGTGACACAGCATGATCACAAGACCATTATCAGCTTCATTCCAAAGAATGACAAATGCCCAGTCCCCAGCGACCAGCTCAGAATCCTGCTTACAGTGCTTGCCTTCCGTGCAATCATGTGGAATCAAAATGATGACAGCCTCCCAAAATTGATGATCAAATGGCTGGGTCGACCACTTTGGTTCGGCCATGTTGTCCCAAACTTGACTGCAGAAGCATTGTCAAACATGATGACAGCCGCTGCCATGACCTTCTCAGGTACAGCACGGTACAGGGTCCTCCACAAGGCCAAACATCTCATGCCGGAACAGAAGATCCAAGATTGCGAGCCTTCAGAACACAGAGCTGCCATCATGATCTACCTAGCCCAGGAAATGCATGGCGGTGCACCGACCGGATCCAAGCAAAATGCAAGGCTCCAAATGAAAAATTCTATTGCCAGCACGCTCCTGCAAGAAGGATATGACCTGACATGGGTATCAGATGCAGTGGAACAGGCCCTCAACTCCACAGGCATGAGAGAACTTGCACCAGTTTCAGCCATGCCTCCGAGCCCAAAACGATTGGAAGCCATCATTGCCATCCTGAAGCAGCGTGCTATTGACATCCCAAAAGTGCAGCCACAAAAGACGTCCCAAGCAGCCATGCAAGCCAGACAGAAGAAGAAGCCAGCCATCATGCCATGCCCGAACATGTACAGAGTTGCTGAAGGTTTTCTACTGAAGTCAGACGGTCAAGTAGCACAGCAGCTCCAAGAGTTCAATTGCCAACACTCTGGCTTTTACCTGTGTGATGCCAACTTTGCCCTGCCGTGGCTTCGTGCCAATGAAACCATATCCACAGATGAAATTGCACTGGTGCTGTTTGGGGAACCGCCCTTGGTTACAACATTAGATAAGTCACATGTCACATTGCCATTCCTGGACGAACATGGTCAATCAGTCCTCATTGCGTGCACTTTGATCCAACTTGGGGAGAAGGCCATCACACCCAAGAAGCTTGACGACCATATCATTGATGGGGATTCAGTGACTTTGACAGCAATCACCCTGTGGAAGGAAGATTGGGGGGAGGATTGGAATACCATAGCCCAAAACCCCATTGCTCACATCAAGAAGACCATCAATGACCCAGATGCCATTGTATCAATTTGGGGAAAAGCATTCCGGAAAGGAAAACAACCTGCCACTTGCCATGACTGCACATCCATCCAGATGCACTGTACAATCCGTGACAGCAAAATTGGTCAGGTTCTTTCCAGTTCAGGTCACAACTCCCTATGGGCCACGCCAAAGAGCGAAAATGGGCAGATCAATCCAAAATGGAAATTGATTTG